AATTGTACTCCATTCAGAATATCATGGCTATATCATTTTTGCTTATCTAGTCATCAGTTGATGGACGTTTGGCTTGTTTCCACCTTTTTGGCTATTACAGATAATGCTACTCTGAATATTTGTGTACAGATTTTGTGTGGACACGTTTTTTGTTTCTCTTGGGTATCATAAACGCAAAAGCAGAGCTGCTGGGGCAGACTCTTTGAGAAACTGCCAGACTCTTGCACAGTGGCTGCACTATTTAACATTCCCGCCAGCAGGGCACAAGGGCTCCCGTTTCTCCACATCCTTGCCAATGGTTGTTATTACCTGACTTTTTAAATTATAGCCTTCCTGGTGGGAAATGGTATCTCAGTAGGGCTTTAAGTGCTGTTTTCCTTAGCTCTCCATGTAAATGAAGGGTAAATGAAAATTACGGTGAACTTGTTTACATAAATAAATGATGTGTAAAATATTTTCTGAATCGGAATTAACTTTGACAAACTATAGTGTGATGTGCGTATGCTGTTGTGTGCCATTTTAGCAGAATAATTCCAATTCTTCCTGCTCATGTCCGTCTGTTAAGTCTGTTCCCTCCCATGTCCCTCTAGGAGGGCTTGGACGCGGTTGGTGCACTGGCCACTGCGCCACAGGCCTGAGTTCAGTTTAGGAAATATTTTCTTAGTCCTACGTCTGATAAAAGAATAAAAAAGCCGTGAAATAGTAGAACTTGGATGTTATTAATCTGTGAGGCTCATTAATAGCCTTCTTACCTACAACACTTCGATGCTCTTCTTTATTTAATAGTCTTAACCTTCGTTTCTGATACCTAAATGTACATCATTTTTGTGTAGACTCCACTGGTCGGAGACAACAAAAATGTAACCTGTAACCCAGATCTAGAAGCTAGTAGAGGCCTCAGTGAGTTCCCGGGCCTCCTTGTCCTTGCCTTTTTCACTAAAATGCAGGGAACCTTCCTGCTTTCCTTCCTCACTAGCCTCTCTGCTGCACTGCCACCGCGGCGCCCAGCCCTGGGGTCTGCAGGCTGCTGCTGGGCCGTGCGAGCTCCGCGCCAGGCTTCAGGTCCCACCCCGCACGCCTCCTGGCTCTGTAACCTCGGACAGGTGGCTCCGTTCTCTCATCTGTAAAACAGGTTTAATAAGAGTGCATCTCACAGCGCTGTGTTATCAAGTGAGTTGACACAAATGTGGGAAATATTGCCTGGAGCATAACACTCATTGCTAGCTGCCGTTACTATTACTCTGACCTTAATGCTTTGGGTAAAAAATTAAATGCGTGTATTTTATTTAGAGACATGAATCGCTCCAAATTGATTGATTGTAGCCTACAGCTTATTTTTCACTGTCGATGCTTTCTAGATTCATTATGTGTATAGTTTCTGTTATACATAATTTCTAAATTTACTGCTACCTCATAAAGTTAAGGGGTAAAAAAAAAAAAATCATAATAAAATTTGAAGGTTCTTAGTTTAAAAGTGGGTGAATATCTCACGGAAATGTCTGTAAACACAGTAGTGGAATTTTTTTTTAATCTGTTTTTAAATTTAGGAAGTGAAGTAATCAGTGAGGTGAGCTTTGTTCTGAAAATGTATTACTCATTATACTTAGTGTTTACTGTCCTAATTTGTGAAGTAAACTATAGATTTTCTATGTATTTTTTGCATATTATAACAAGGTCATTTCTAAGTAAGTTTTATTTTTATTCATTCCATTTCCCTTGCTGTTATATATATATATATATATATATATATATTATATATATGTATTCAAGATGTGTAGGTACCTACACTTATGTCTGCCCATTTATATGGATCTATTTGTTTTGAGCATTGTTATAGCATGGCATTGTTTTTTCTACTCAACGGTGTATTGTGCACATTTTCCTCTATTGTTAAGTAGCTTAGCATGGCGTAAATTGCTACTTGTGCTTGTGGCATTGCTCCCTTTCTTGTTATATACAATTCTGTAACGGCCAGTTTCATTCCTACAGCTCCGTTTTCTCTCTCAAATTGTATCTGTAGACTAAATTGCCAAGAGAAAGAGTCTTAGTGAAGAGGAGGTGAATGGTTTCACAGCTCCTGAGATGCTTTCCCACATTTTCGTTCAAAAGAGTTCTGCTTTGTAATGCTGTAAATACTCATTACTCAGACTTTCCCCTCAAAACCTTGTGCTGGGAACAAAGATGAGAAAGACGGGAGCCCACTCCCTAGGGCTCGAGTGAACAGAGAGGACACAGAAATCACCTGAGTGGAAGGGCGTGCTGCGGTTGGTCCCGTGTCCACTCTGAGTCTGAAGAAAGAATTGGGGTCTCTCTCTGGACAGTAGCCGCCTGAAAAAGAGGGAGAATGCGAAGATATGACTTGAGGTGCAAATAATGATGCTTATTTTTCTTTCTTGAATATGATGTCTGTTTACCATTTCCAGAACATATTTCTTGCCTAACTATTGGTACGTGACTTAGCTTCTGGCAACCGCATGACGCAATAGGAGGAGCACATGGGTTTGGACAAACTATTTAATTCCTGGAGCTTCAGCTTCCTCACGTGAAAAACATAAACGATGCTTCCTTCAGAGCTTTAAGGGTTATAACAAATGTATATTATCTCCAGCCTCACTTCCGCAAAGATTGGAAATGGAAGAGCTAGTATGTTAATAAAGCCCTCGGCACAGCACCCGGAGTCACCGTTGGTTTTCTGATTGCCGTTATCAGGAATTCTGCTTCAGACAGAGCACCCGCCTTCCTGTAAACACCGCTCAGTTTTCAGTACGCTGGTCCACCACCTCCAAGTCAGAACCCACTTCCTCAGCCTCCAGAGTCAAGGTAGCTCTTCACCCTTTACAGTGAGCAGTAGGCCAGCTCCTTTCCTTCCTTTAGCCCGTGCTCGCTGTCGGGTACCGTGTGAGGTGTAGGGAGTGCGAAGATGCTCAGACAGTGCCCTTGCCCTTGGGGTCTCGCTGTCTCACCAGGGAGATGGTGCCTGTCCTGCAAGCAAGACAGTCTGTGGTCCTCAGCCAGCTTCTCATTAGCCTCATCCGGGGAGCTTCTTACAGATACTGTTTCCCGTGCCCTGCTTCAGATAATGAAGTCAGAATTCAGTGCACGTGTCACTAAACCTGTTGTGCTCATCATTTCACAATATCTGTATGTCCAGTCTTCAACGCACACAGCGTGGTATTTCAGTTACATCGCAATAAAGCTCAAAGAAAAAAAGAATTTCATGCAAGTATAAATAGTATACTCACTCTGTAGGAAGAATGATCCATCTTGATTGGAAAGGGGGTCGGAAAGAGGATGACAGTCGGACCAACAACAGGACTTGGTCTGCAATGTGAGGCGGCGACAGCAGGTGAGGGCGTGGGAGCTTGAAGCCTGGCGACAGGTTTGGGGAGCAGCAAACACTCTTCTGAAGCTGTTCTAAATGGAATGTAGATTGGGGGAAGGAAATGCAGGTTGTAAAGCTGGATTGATAGAGAGGAGCCTTAGACTTTATTATATAGAAGATGAGGTAGACATTATGGGAGCATGATATGACGACGTCTCTGATTTGGAAAAATAACTCGTCCCTAGTTGATAACATCTTCAAAAATAAATTCCACGTGGATTTAAAGTATCAGTAGTAGAAAAAGTAGAGGATACTATTTCTATATACTTGGGGGTGTGCGGGGGGAGCCTTTTGTAAACTTGGGAGAAATTCCAAAGTCGTGAAGGAGAACGTTAAGATTGACAGGTTTTACCGAGTAAATACTTAGAACTTCTCTGCGGCATAATACATTCCGAATAAAGTTGAAAGTCCAAAGACAGGCTAGGAAAAAGTATTTGCTACCTGAATGGTACAGAGCTAATGTACCTAATAAATAATGAGCCCTTACAAATCAAGAAATAAAGAAAGGTGAGTATACCTAAGAGAAAAATAGGCCAAAGGCATGAGCAGGCAGTTTTCCAAGGAAAAAATACAAGTAATTGCCAAACATACAAAAGATGCCCATCCTCAGTCAGAGAAATGCAAAGTCTGAACAAGAGCGGGGTTTTTAACCTGCAGACTGATCCAGATGATAAAAAGTGAATGATGTCTAATGTTGGCAAACAGTGTGGGGAAACAAGCACCCTTGCTAACATTCTTGGGGGATGTGAAAGTTGCTGCAGCCTTTCTAGAGAGCAGATAAGTGATTATTCATCAAAACTTAGCATGCGGTTGCTCTCGGGCCCAGTCGCCCCACGGTGGAGAATCGTCCCTGGAGACACACAAGGTTGTAGCGTTGTTTGTGACACCAAAGAATAGGAAACAGTGTAAATTCTTACCAAAATTACATCCTTGGTAAGAACACGTACCAAACCGTAGACGCTGCCTGGGAAACAGGAGGGGGAGAGGGTACTTTCGACTTTAGATACTTTGTAATGTTGGGAAATGTTAAGAAACACCCCCCCTCCCCCCATATAACGTTTCTGTTTGAAACCACCCCGCCCAAAAGGCAGCCACAAAGGAGAGACGAGAAGTCCTGTGCTGGATGCAGAGCGTGAGGGAGAAGTTGGAGCCACAGGAAAATCAGGATTTTTGCCTTGTTCAGGGGAGAGACATGGTGGTGTCCGAATGGGAGCGGAGGCCACCAGACCAGGGGGGTAGCCTTGAGAGACAGCTTACCGAGTAGCATGTGTACGTTTCTACCATGTGATGGAGAGGAGTGAGGAGAGCACTTACTCAGAGACTGCTCTGAAGTTTGCAGTTGCGTTGCCGATCCAGTGACTGCGACATTTTCAAAGGCAGGAAAGGCAGGAAGAGGAGCATGCTTTGAGCAGAAGCTGACGAGTGTCTTGAGCATAGATCCTCAGTAAGTATCTGAGTGATAGACGACTTGGGTTCCGTTAGCTCACCTCTGGCCTGTACCATTTATGCTTTCTCATCAAGGCTCGTCTTCCGCTCCTGTTTGTAAGGAAACATTATTAATATGTACACAGTACGTAAGCAGCAGTTTCTAACGGTTGTTCTCGGTTTCTGTTTCCAGAGTGCTCACCTGGCCATGATGGACACCCTCATGATGGCGTACACCGTGGAGATGGTCAGTGTGCAGAAGGTGGCCGCGTGTGCCCGGCAGTACTCGGCTTTCTTCCAAGCCACAGATCTGCCCTATGACGTTGAGGATGCCGTCATGTACTGGATAAATAAGGTAGGGATATGCTCCCTCGGGTAAAAAAAGTCTCAGAGCCAGAAAACATCATACATCCCCACTCTGCTGCACACTGAATGTTTGTGTCCCCCTGCCCCCCGGTTCATATGTTGAAGTCATAAGCCCCAACTAAAGTTGTGCGGTCTTACTTGAAATTTCCCATTCCCTTTAGAGGTTTTTTTTTTTTTTTTTTTTTTTTGGGGGTGCGGGGCCCTCTCCCTGCTGTGGCCTCTCCCGTTGCGGAGCACAGGCTCCGGACGAGCAGGCTCAGGCGGACTCTCAACCACTGCACCACCAGGGAAGCCCCCCATTCCCTTTAGACTTAAAAAAATATATATATACTGTTAAAATGATGGAAATAGATTTTATGTATTCCACAAGATCTGTAGTTACATTTAATGATTAATCTAGTTCATATTAGATTATTAGAAAATTCAGAGCACTCCAAGTAGGGAACTAACTATACGCTGCAAGCGCTCAGTAAGTATTTTTTACATCCAGGAATGAAATAAGTCTCTCATTTCCAACTAGATGATTTCTAGGTTTGCTTGACTGACTTGCATAAGACTGTATAGACTGTAGCTTCCTCCTCTTGGAGATTTTTATGGAGCTGTGATTACTGTGATTAGTTGTTTGTGCTCTGAAGATGTTTCAGTTGTCGATTTATCGCCCCCTTTACCAATTTGAATAGTTAGTTCCCCTTGATTCTCTTTTGTTTACAACTGTAACCCCAGGGAAAATCAAACCTTATCTGTGAGCAAGACAGACCTGGACGGATTTAAAAGAAGTTACACCTTCAGGTGTCCTCCGTTGAGTGTTTGCACGGAGCTTGTAACAAGGAGCTAAGTGTGAAGGCTCCTGCGTCTGCCATCGTGGTCCGTAGTATCAGCGTCAGCGTCAGCGTGGCACTCTGCCCTCCGCTCGTTAGCTGTAGGGATCACGGTCCTATCCTGGACCCACTCATCGTCAGAAGCCACGTAGCCTTCACGACCCACCGGAGATCTCCCGTCCTTGATTAATTCTTTTCCCTCACTCTCACACCCCGACTATTAAAAATGTTCACCCTTGGCTTCCCTGGTGGCGCAGTGGTTGAGAGTCCACCTGCCGATGCAGGGGACACGGGTTCGTGCCCCGGTCCGGGAGGATCCCGCGTGCCGCGGAGCGGCTGGGCCCGTGAGCCATGGCCGCTGAGCCTGCGCGTCCCGAGCCTGTGCTCCGCAACGGGAGAGGCCACAACAGTGAGAGGCCCGCGTACTGCAAAAAAAAAAAAAAAATCTCCTGGGAGCTTGTAGGTCTGGGCTGGGGTGGAGAGTCTGCGTTTCTGAGACGCTCCGGACAACGTCCCAGCGCTGGTCTGTGGGCCACACTCACGCTCCTCTGCCACCCAACTCCCTCCCTGTCGGGTCATCCTCATAAGAATAAGGCTGCTCTGCTGTCTCCCATCCTGGTAAACAAAGCTTCCCCATCCAACTCGGACCCTGTTTCTCTGTACACAGAACCTCTCCACCCCCTCCCCCACTCCCACCCTGAAGTTGCTGCTGAGCCCAGTGTAGGCTCCCATTTGGACAAATCCAGTGACTGCTTTTCTGTCCGCGTCTCGAATTCGCATGTGAGCCTTGTGAAGCCTCGGGACCGCCGGGCGTTCTCCAAGCCCGAGCGCCACGCCACCTCCCTGCCGGGGTCCCAGCAGCTGTCCTCTCCCTGGGCTCCGGGGCCCCTTCCTGCTAGCACAGTGCAGGCCAGCCAAGGATCTGTGGCAGTTTCCGTGTGGGTTGGGGTCCCCTCCATGAACGAGTCCTTCCGGCCAGGCTGCTCCTCCTTGGTACCCAGCCACGCCGGTGACTGCCCCCTTTGCTCCTCAAGCCACCGAGGCTGCAGCTCCCCGCTTGAGTCCAGCCACTCAGCCTCGCGCGGGTTGAGGGCAGAGCCACGCAGGCCGACCGCACTCGGCGTGCTTCTTCTTCAGGGGCTGGCCCTCCCGGTCCCGCCGCTGCGTCCAGAGCTCTCCTCGGTGTCCCTGGGAAGCTCCGGGTGACACCTGCTGCCTCAGCAGGACCAGAGCCAGGACGCCCAGGATGTTGCTTTCAGGCCACTCGGATCACGCTGAGTTCACATTTTACACTGAAAATGTCAAGTGGACCAGTGCCGACAAAGTACCCCCCAGCCCGACCCAGGTCAGGACCTTCATCCCAGCTGCGGGGCTCACCTCTGGCCCTTCGGACGCGACGCTTCCCGTTCCTGGGTGGCCCATCGCCCAGCCTTTTGTGCGGCTCGGTGCCTCTGCGCTCTCATTGCTCAGCTTGGATGGCGCTTTCTCCTCGCAGCCTGTCTAAAGTAGGCACCTGGCAAGTCTTATTTTCTGCTGTGATGCTCTGTTTCCTTTATAGCACTTTTCAGAGTTTAATCCTTTGAACAAACTGGAATAATCGATATGAGGACAAGTACTGTGCCCAGCTTTCTTTTTTAGTGCCGAGTGCCTGCACTAGTGCCGTGTTTGGCAAAGCGAGGTGGTATTTAATACATCAAAGAAGGAGTTTCAGCCACGGGATCAGGCTCGGCCCCGTAGGACTTCGGGGGTCTCTGCAGAGGGATGAGGAGATCACCTGATTAGGAACGTCCAACACCTTTAGGCAGCCGCGTCCCCCCTCTTCAGTTTTCAGGTCGTCATGACTGGAGCCAGTTGAGTGAAGCTGCACCTCAGCGTAGCTCAGAGTAGCCCTTTCTTGCTGGCTCCGCCAGCCCGGCGTCGGCGTCTGTCCTCTGGTTGTGGCGTCACCTTCCGCTCTGCAGCGGAGGACCTCCTTCTTCTGGCTCTTATTTCGCCTCATCCTGACCCAGTCGCCTTTTCCTCTGGATAATACAAGTATTTAAAAAAAAAAAAAAAAAAAAAAAGCTACCGTAGAAAAATGGGAATGACATGGCTAGAATAGTTATCAGCACTGTTGACTGTAAATGAGTTTAAACTTAAAAAAAGCAAGATCACAGAGGACAAGATCGTAATGGCTAAGTCAGGCGGGGTACACAAGAGTTGTGAATACAGGAACCTTCTGTTACTTGGCCCTACCTCTCTCTTGTTCCATCTGTAGCCCCCCGTTGGGTTCACCAGGCTCCAGCCTTACTGTTCTCTTCCACTCCCTCGAACACACCAGGCTTTCCCACCACAGGGCCTTTGCTTGTGTTTCATCCTCCTCTCTGTGTCGTGGCTGCAGCTTCAGAGGCCGCCTCTGGGACAGCGTCCCTGCCAAGATAGGTCTCCCCGCTCCCGTGATTTTCTACTCACCTCTTTATTGATTTGTACGACTCATTACGGACCGCTTTTGTCGGGGGGAGCTTTTCCCCTTTTTTTCCTTTTTTGTTCCATCTCCCTTGTTCCGTGAGGACGGGGACTAGACTGTATTTATGCACCATTGTGTCCCTATAGCCTCTTAATGTAATGTCCGGAGCTCAGTAAGTCGCTGTTGACTGTGTGGATGAGTAAGAGAAGGAATAGTGGTTCAGAATGCTCACGTGTGACCAATTTGCTTTGCGGAGAGAATCAGATAAGGACTTTTAAAAAAATCACGAAGATATTTCCAAACTGACAGATCCGTTACAACTACCTGATATTGAATTCGAAAGTGTTTCTTTTTTAACTTAAAAAAAAAAAAAAAAAAAGAAAATGCTAAGAAAAAGGACCAAACCAAAACCCTAGGAAAAATTATAAACTTTCCCAAGTTTGGGCCCTATCAACCCCTCCCCCCCATAATTGGTAAATCCGTCAAAATGCTTCAAGATGCATGGACGTTATGACGCCTTGTAACACATGTTGCCAGGACAGAACATTTTAGTTATTTTGGCAGCGTGTCACATTCAGCGGTAGCCCTTCCTGTTACAAACTCCTGGACACGTTTGATAAAATGCAGTTGGAAAGGTTTATGCTACAGAGCTGAGCATCAGAGACAGAAAAGGAAACTGTCGGGTGCCAGAACCAAAGTGGGCTGCAGGCTTTGGTGGCCTCTCAGGGGCCGTTGAGCCTCTGCCGGGGCTTGAGAGTCACTAGATGCCAGATGAGGCCGTGGGTTTTGCCGGTTACGGGAAGTTGGAACCGTGACCTCTGTGTAGACCCACCAAGAGCTCGCCCCCTCAGTGGAAACGAGCACACCAGCCGCGATGTCTTTGCTCTTGAGTGCCACCTGGAGGTGGGCTCTGTCATCAGTGATGCAGGGGTTCCAGCTTTGCCACGGGGTTACTTCCATGCGTGGTTTTACGATGGCTGCGGTGATTCCAGAGGTCGCACACGTGCAGTCATAACGGCGTCCGGCAAAGATGAGAGTAGGGTCTCCTGGGCGCTGCTCTTAGCAAAGGAACCTTCCCCAGAAGGTCTCCCCCAGGAGAGTGGTTCTCAGGCCCGCACCTAAACCACCCCCTGGCGAGAAGACGCGGCCTGTCAGGTCATCTTGGGCTGACTTTGTGTCTCCCTCCAGGTCTGGGGAGGAGGCCTCCTGGACTGAGTGTGGGGTGGGGGGCGACAGGTGACCAGAAAGCCCAGTGCCAGGCCAGTGGTATCTTCCTGGCACCTGGCAGACCAGCAGAGGTAAAGTTGCTCTGAAGGTCACCTCTACACCCAAACCGTGGGAGTCCCCAGCAGTGGGGGAGGGATACACTTGTCGCAGATGCAAAAGTACCAACAACAAGCGTTTAGGAAATGATGAAGATGCCATCACGTACACGGGGAGAGTCAGCAAACCTGACAAACAAGGCCCACACGCCGAGAGCTGCAGAGAGCAGAGCAGTCTGAAAAGACAAAAATAAATGCTTGAGTGGCTGAAAATAAAACACGGAATAAAGGCCATAGGAAAGAATAAGGCAGCGTGGAGGGTATATGGGAAAAAGAATAAATTATAACTTTAGAAATTGAAAATTTTAGTCGTTGAAATAAAAAGATTAAACAGAAGATTAGACGTAGTTGAAGAGGGGAGTTAATTAACGAGAAGAAATTACCCAGAATCAGTCCAGAGAGATGAGATGGGATATATGACATTGAGGTTAACAGACTTGCCTAGAGGCCTGATTGGAATTCCAAAAGGAGTTAACAGGGAGGGTGTAGGCCGGGGAGGGAATAATTGAAGAGACAGTGGATGAAAATGTTTTACAATAGATGAAGGGCATAGACGTTCAAATTCAGGAACCATCGTGAGTTTGGAGCAGGATAAATTAAAATAAATCCACGCCTACATATATAGCAATGAAACTGCAGAATCCAAAGATAAAAGACAGTCTCTCTCAAAGGAACGCGAGAGTAGACATCTCAGCAGTAATAGTCGAGCCAGAAGACAGTGCAGCAAAATCATCAAAGTGCCGAAGAAAAATGACGATGAACCTGGAGTTCCCGTACTTTCGCCCAGGACTAAAGTTGTAATCGAGATTTGTTCATACAGAGGTGGTTTATCATTCAGACCTTTGCAGAAAGAAATACTGAAAGGTTGTCCCTCAGGAAGAAAGAAGTGGAACCTAGGGGAAAAGGTGGGGTGTGGGAAGCAATGATAAAAAGGGGAGTGGGTGTGCACATGGGTAAATCTAAGCAAGTGTTATTAGAAAATCATCATCGTGCCTAATTCTGAGGCCCTTAAAAAGGAAGAACTATGTTGTTTCTAGGTTAAAGTAACATGAGGGCTGAGAGGAGGTGATTTGAATTAAAGCCTTTCTAAGGTTTTTGTATCATTCAGGAGGAATGAAAAAATTTTGACTGGCTTTAGACTTACATCAAGGCAAGGATACACATGACTATTTTGTATTTTTAAATGAAAAAAATTAAATAAAAGCGAGTGTACATTTTTAAATTAATGGATATTTAAAAATGCATGTGACGTTTTAGCACATTGATTTTTAATTCATATGCCAGCGCCAGCTGTTCGTTGTATGTTCTCTAGTTCACTGGTCCTCAGCGCTTGTGCCAGTGGTGAGCTGCCTCCAAGTCATGATGGGCTCTCTGATACACACACATCTTTAACTTTTATCCGTGAGTTGCGCAAAGAATGTCATGACGCAACTTTAGTGCTAGAACTTTCTAAGCAGCATCCGGGAACTGGCTTAAGAATTACTAAGCTAATTATCTCATTTATCTGTCTTGTGTACCCAGGTAGGTTAAGTAGCTTGAAGTGACCATGTCTTGTACTTTTCGCGGTTTCCCTATTAGAAAGTCAATGAATTATCAACATGTAAAATTTTCTTATAATCATGAGTTTGGTATTTTGGATGATTTATGCCATTACATCAACTTAAAGCATTTTGAGTAGGATTTGTTAAAGCCCTTCCAGACGTTTAACTGTCTGGAATTACATTGCGGGTATATCGTTTCTAAGTAATGGCAGTAGTTTCTATTTATGGGCTCTGCGCTCTGTATTATGCACTTTACTTGGTACATTTTATACATTATCTCTTTAATTCTCTGTGTTTTGCTATAATAATTACCACAAACGGAACTGCTTAAAACTTCTGTTAGTTCAGTTATTTACTCACTTATTATAATCATCTCAGGGTTACCAGTTTCTGTGGGTCAGGGATCCAGACCTTGCTCACCTGCATGCTCCATCTTCAGGGTCTGTCACAAGGTTGGGTCAAGGTGTTGCCCAGGCCTGGGGTCTTATTGGAAAGTTTGAGTGTGGAGGGCCCACTCCAAGCCCACCTGGTTGTTGGCAGGGCTTAGGTCCAGCAGTTGGACGGAGAGCCTCGGTTCCTAACTGGCTGCTGGCCGGAGGCTGCCCCCAGCTCCTTACCATGCAGGCCTCTCTGTAGGGCAGCTCGAGGGATGGCTGCGTGCTTCCTCAAAGCCAGCAGGAGAGAGTGGGGCTTAGTGTGCGAGACGTAAGCGCCAAAGTGGTATCCCATCCCCTTAGCTGTATTCTGTTGGGTAGGAGCAAATTACAGGCCCTGCCCACACTCAGGGCGATCATTGGGGACCGTCTTAGAGCCATCGTCTCCAAACCTCTTGTGAAGTAGGTTGTATTCCAGCTGGCAACGAAGGCTCAGGTATCAGGGAATTATTAAGGTCATGGCTTGTGAGTGGGGGTTTTGAGTCAGAGCCGGGTCGCTGCTGCTTCTGCTGTCTCTTCGGAAGAGTGTTTTACACCTGCCAAGTCGGTGCCCTAAGATCTTAGAGCACGGCAGCCTACTTGGCAGTACAAACCAAGATGAATCTGTGTGTTGGTTAAATTCCTTCTAACGCCTCGGAGTGTATCGTAACTGTTAGTTAAATTTATCATAAATTCGAATTCTTCAGTCTTCTTTTCTTAGGCACTGAACTGAATTTTAAGCAGCAGAAGAGGTTAGAAAATTATTGATTTAGTTTACAGTTACAGTGGTTGATAATACCATTCAGATTTTCCAGAATGCCATTATTAATTAACTTGAACACTTGCTTACTATTACTGGCCAGACCTTAAAATCAGTAACTCAGAATCCAAAATTGTCTAACCTATTCTGAAGAAATACTTTTGCACTAGACAGATTGTTGCTTAATCATCTTGAATTATGGGCTGTTTGAACAATCTGATAGATAAATCAGACCTCCTCCCTAAGAAGTTCCCACATGCAAAATTTTTTCATGTATTTTAACTGTGGCCTTATGACCACACTAAAACCCACTCATGATCCAGGGACATGCCCATGAGATCACAGCCTAAGAATTTGATTCAGGGCTTCCCTGGTGGCTCAGTGGTTAAGAATCCGCCTGCCAGTGCAGGGGACACGGGTTCGAGCCCTGGTCCGGCTCAGAGATCCCACATGCCGCGGAGCCACTGAGACTACGCGCCACAGCTACTGAGCCTGCGCTCTAGAGCCCCCAAGCCACACAACTACTGAGCCCACGTGCCACAACTGTCGAAGCCTGGGCGCTTAGAGCCCGTGCTCTCCAACAAGAGAAGCCATTGCGACGAGAAGCCTGCTCACCGCAATGAAGAGTAGCCCCTGCTCGCCGCAACTAGAGAAAGCCCACGTGCAGCAACGAAGACCCAACGCAGCCACAAATAAATAAATAAATAAATAAATAAATAAATAAATAAATAAATAAATTTATTTTAAAGAAAAGAATAAAAGACAAGGAAGACATTAAAAAAAAAAAAAAAAGAGGAGTTTGATTCAGAGTGTTTTTGAGGAAAATAATTTTCACTTAGTAGTCCTAAAAGAGATTGTAAACTTTTTACTGAAAAAAGTTTTATTGTTTCCCAAGCATTAAAACAGAAGTTATCAAGTACCTTTTTTTCCCCCTAGCACTCCAACTAGTACCTGACATGTACTAGGTATTCAACAAGTATTTGGTAAAGTCATGAATTTTAGAATTTCAAACAAAACACCTGTAAAATACTTTTTTCTGGTTGGGAAAATGAAATTCTGTTCATTTGCGCGGTACTGGTATTTGACATCGGAGATCTGAACACAGGCATTTTAAGGTACATGTTATTTTACTGTTATATTTGACTATAAATTCAAATTAATGTTTTTATATTTTAAGGTAAATGAACATTTGAAAGACATAATGGAACAAACACAGAAATTGAAAGACCACCACACAGTGGAAGCTTCAGGAGGCCAAAAGGTACATGTTCTTAAGAAAAAAAGGTGCCTTTGTGAGACCCTGTGTTCCTATGTGTGTGCTGTTTGGGGAAGCGTTAAGAGTGTGTTCATCAACTTAGTTTTTGGTGATCTTAACTGTACCCTAGAAAGCCTTTCCATAAATACCAAGTAAGTAGCAGTGCAAAATGAAGGTTAATTGGATGACGGTGTTTAGGAAAATTTGTTAATGACTAGAGCTCAGCTTCTGACATTCTTTTGGCAAAAAATAATGGGTTTGCCTTTGTTTGGTAAAATATATGAAACAGGAAAACAGTTTTCACTGTATCAGCCTTATAATGACTTGTAGTAAGACCAGCCTCTAAAATTACATTCCAGGAATTATAAGTTGTGCATATGGTTATTTTGTGAAGGAAAGAAGAAACATTAACACGGATTAATTCTTTAAACTTCTTGAACAGGCTTTTAGAGTTTTGTTTTCTCCGAACACTTGTGTGTTTGTGTTTGTTATATACTAAGACCTAAAGTATATTTCCTACATCTTTTAAAATATATTATAATGAGAGCCCTTTAAACATGTTGTCTAGCATTTGAATTGAGGTATAAGAAATGATCTTATGCAGAGACTTTCTTTTCCATCTGGGTTATTTTAAGTATCTTCATTATTATACAGCACTTCTGTTCATTTTGGGCGAATGCTGCTAGTTACTGATACTCTGTAAGAGAGGAGACCGGAGGAGGGAAAGGGAAAAAGCTGGTTTGTGCATCACCAGCTTCACCAGGCAAGTTGTGCGGGGACCACCTACACTTCTGTCTGAATCTGGTGCTTGGGATCACAGTGGTTTCCCTGGGCTTGATTCTTGTCTTTGTTGACCACCTTCCCCAGTGGAGATCTGCACCCGCTTCCCTGCTTCCCCCACCTCTGCACCCGCCTCGTCCCTCGAGGCCCCCAGCCCTTTCCTTCCGGTTTTCCCCCCTTGCCCTTTCCCTCCCTTTAGTAGTAGAAATCCTTGCCTTGGAGATGGATTTAATCCTGCCCCCCCACCCAGCCCCGATTTTGTTCCTGGCTCTAATCAGGAATAAGGTTCAGCATCATCCTGAGTTACAGGATTTCCATGGAAACCTCGTTTATTATATATATGACTTAATTCTGTAGTTTTGCATACACATTATGAACTAAAAGGGGGTTTTATATGCTGACATAGGATCCAGTAAACCTTGTTTCTATGGAAAAAAATGCTATTTGTGTTCCAAACAACTGCAGATTAAGTGACCCTTAAGCAAACTGGGGCTTCCCTGGTGGCGCAGTGGTTGAGAATCTGCCTGCTAACGCAGGGGACACGGGTTCGAGCCCTGGTCTGGGAAGATCCCACATGCCGCGGAGCAACTAGGCCCGTGAGCCACAACTACTGAGCCTGTGCGTCTGGAGCCTGTGCTCCGCAACAAGAGAGGCCGCCATAGTGAGAGGTCCGCACACCACAATGAAGAGTGGCCCCAGCTTACCACAACTAGAGAAAGCCCGCGCACAGAAACGAAGACCCAGCACAGCAAAAATAAATAAATAAAATTAGTAAACTCCTACCCCCAACACCTTCTAAAAAAAATAAATTAAAAAAGAAAAAGAAAAGCAAACTGTATGGTATCCAGACACTACTGGATCACGGCACTCTGACTGTTTCACGGCACTTGGCCCATGGAATTGTACATACTGACCTCACAACCAGGATTTGCTGAGTGAGTGATTGAGTAAATGAATGAATGAGTGTGCTTCACTTAAATATTTGGGTCAGTACACATTTTTATTTGAGCACAAACACAGCATTTATACCTTCATTTTCTTCTTTTTCCTCTTTTATTATTTTTTTTTCATTTACGTTTCTATTGAATTATAGTTGATTTACAAAGTGTTGTGTTAATTTCTGCCGTACAGCAGAGTGACTCAGTTACACACATACATACATTCTTATTCCTACCCTTTTCCATACGGTTTATCCCAGGATATTGAATATAGTTCCCTGTGCTGCCCAGTACGACCTTGTTGTTCATCCATCCTGTATGCAATAGTTTGAATCTGCTAATTGCAAACTCCCAGACCATCCCTCCCCCATCTCCCCTCCCCCTTGGCAACCACAAGTCTGTTCTGTATGTCTGAGTCTCTTTCTGTTTTGTAGATAAGTTCATCTGTGCCATGTTTTAGATTCAATACCTTCCTTTTCAAATGAATTTGATCCTTTTTCTCATTGTCAAAGTCTTTGTGAAGGTAAGTGTTCATTTCACATAGTCTGTGAGGTACAGGGGTCCTCATGAAGAGCACACTGCCAAGCACAGAGTAGGTTATGAAGCCTTGCTCTTACCCAACAGCGGGATTTGGGGCATTTGAACTATTTGGTTTGGCTAGAAATATAATCATTTTATTCTTGATTTACATTCTTGTAAAAACAAAATTCTTCCTTATAAACTTGCACATTTATGTATATATTTAAACACTTTTAAAATTCAGAGATGGTACCATAACTTTTTTTTCTCCAAGCAATATTTTATAAAGATGATTTGGTCTGAAGAAACTTATATATTAGTTAGATATCCCAGTACCGTGATTTTAATCTTTGCCTAAGAGTACTATAAAAATTAGATTTCTTCAGCAGCTTTATAGATCAATAGTCTTGTGCATTTGGATACGAGACCCTACGAAGATTTGGACTGGTATGGATTTAATATAACTTGTTAAGAACATTTATTTTGAAATATTTCTGATTTAACAAAAAGTTGCAGGGAGAGTTCAAAGAACCCTTATATGTCCTTCACCCAGATTCATCAGTGTAACATTTTGTGTGCTCTGTGCATTACATGTTGCACACACAGACGTATATATGCGTGAATTTTTCTGAAACATTTGAAGGAAGGTTGCATGTATCATGCCCCTTCACCCCTTAATATTTCAATGTATATTTCCTAGGAAGAAAGCTGTTCATTTACACGACCACAGGATAGGTAACTTAATGTCAATAAAGTGCTTCGATCAGACTTACAGCCTACAGTTCCAGTTTTGTCAGTCATCCCAGTTGAACTTGGTATATTTTTCTAGTCCAGGATCTAGTCCAGGGTCAGGTAAGGTATTTAGCTGTTGTATCTCTCATCTTCTTTAAACTGGAACAGTCCTCCGCTTTTCTTTTTCATTCGTGACCTTGACATTTTTTTAAGAATACAGGTCATTTTCATAGAATCTCCCTCAATTTCCGTTCTTCTGATGTCCCCTCATCGCTAGATCCAGTTGTGCTTTTTTTTAGCCTAGAATACTATGTCAAGTGTGTCCTTTTCACAGTATTGTATCCAGAGGCGTGTGGTATCCATTTGCCCCTACTAGGTGATACTAATTTTGATCAGTTGGTTAAGATATTGTTTGGGTTTTTTGACTGCATGATGATTATGTTTCCTTTCGTAATAAGTAATTTGAGAGGAGGGTACTTTGAGACTGTAAATACCCTGTTCCTCTTCCATGTTTCCCCACCTCCTAGACTTAGCATTTATTGACGATACCTACGTCAGTTAGTTACTTTTTACTATGGTGGTTACAAAATGGCAGTTCTCTAACTTTATCATTTCTTCTACGTTTATTAGTTAGGATTCTGTTATAAGCAAATTTGACCTCATCTGTTTATCAATCTACTTATCATCTCTTTATTATCTGTATGAACTGATGGATTCTTATTTTATTTAATGGGTTGTAATCTGTTTCTGTCCATCATTATTCATTTGTTCATTGATTCGTTCATTCCCAGTTTTATTGAGATCTGATTGACATACAGCCCTGTGTAGATTTAGGATGTGCGCCATAATGATCTGACTTACACACATGGTGACCACAATAGGTTTAGTGAACATTCATCCTCTCGCGTAGATACAGCATAAAGGAATAGAAAAACCTATTTGTACCTTGTGATGAGAACCCTTGGGATTTACCCCCTTAGCGGCTTTCCTGTATAACATGCAGCAGTGTTGACAGCACACTGCACATCACATCCCTAGTACTTATTATCTTGTAACTGGAGGTTTGTGCCTTTCGACCACCTTCACCTAATTTCGTGTGTATTTATTTTTGAAATCAACTTTATTGTGGAATAATTTTAGATTTACAGAGAAGTTCCAAAGATAGTACAGCTTCATCCAGTTTCCCCCAATGTTAACATCTTACGTAATCGTGGCCTATTTGGCAACACCAAGAAAATAGCATTGGTGCATTATCATTGACTAAACTACAGACTTTATTTACATTACACCAGTTTGTGTACTGACCAGGTGTTTTACCAGTGTCCCTGAATTGGGGTTTGTCTCCTGTGTCCTGTGATGAGGTTGGGCCTGTGGGCCTTTTGAGAAGACCACCACAGAAGTGGCTTCACATCTCATCACACCACATCAGGGAGCACGTGGCATGAACACGATTTGTCACTGATGGTGTCCACCTTGACCACTTGCTGAAAGTGGTCTCCTTCATTGTAAAGTTTCTGTTTCCCCCTCTGATGCTCTTTTCTTTGGAAGTGGGTCACTAAATCCACCCCACGTTCCAGGAGAGGGAAGTTAAGCTCCCTGCCTGAAGGGAAGAGTATATACACCATCTGGAATTCTGTAAGTGAGATTCGTACTTTCTCCATTTATTTATGTCCTTCAGCCGTTTATTTGTATCAACGTGGACTGGTGTGTATGTGCTCTGTACTTGGTGTTACAGTCCGGTCCGTGTTAATTTGTATTGTTGTGGACTCTGTGTATGTGTTGTATAGTTTGGGTTACAATCCAGTCTGTGGTATTGACTTGTTGTTCAGTTTCTCCAGCTGCAGCCATTGGGAGCTCTTTCAGAGTTGTCTGAATTAGTAAAAAGGTCAAGTATTGAATATTTTGCAAGAAATGCGGACTAATTTGAACCACGAGAGACCCCTTTGCTCATCTCCTGTTTTGTATAATCCATAGTAATTTCTTACCATCATCAGTTTCTGTGTTACGGATTCCTCTAGTCTCAAAAACAAGAAAACTCCTGTTTTTGAAATTTCTGTCATTCACTGGGAATCCTGACGCATTCACAGGGGCTTCCTGCTCTTTGGTCCTGCTCGTGCACTTTTTATGGCTATTATAACTGCAGCTGCCAAAAACTTCTGGTTAAACGAGAGATTCAAATACATGCAAAAAAATTATTAGGGTTATTCTTCCTGATGCAATAAGAAAAAATTATTGGAAATATTATCTCTGTGGGAAGCTGGTATTTTTCTGATTCTTGAGATGACATTTTTCTGATTTTTGAAGTTCTTGAAAATACCTCATTTATATTATTTTTCCAAATAATGTTACTTTTGCTATTAATTTCTGTAGGAAAAACTTTTCTGCATAGAAGTTGAATATGAATTTTAACTCAGACCCCATTTAGTTTGGTTCACTTCAACAAATATTTATTTAGGGCTGCCAAAAAACTGTGCTAGGAAGTAGCAAGGTAAACAGTTACAAATTATTCTCATATTATCTGAAATTATGGGCTTATTGTATATTCATCTTCTTAAAGACATAAAATTATATTCTTTGGAACACCCCTAGATAGTGAAATTAATAACATTTACATTCTCTTGGTGTTAGTAGCTACTTGCCTTAGAGACTCTATAAAAATACTAACTGGTGAGAATTGCCAACTGCTTTTTTGTCCCCCATTAATTGAAAGAAATCCTTTATGTCATTAAAAGAAACGATCATTTCTACCTTGTTATTTGCTTTTATTCATGCACTTATGAAACGGTCTTTCCTCTTTTCCTTCTGGGAAGTAGTCTGCCTTATCAGACTTGGCCTCCTAATGTCTAAGAATTTTAATGATTGCAAGTCCAGCCCTAGAATCTCTCTACTCCCTCTTGTGATATAAATTTAGTTTCTAAGGTGATGTGTGATCCCAGAACTGGGAGGTAAAAATTCTTGGCCGCCGAAGCACACAGCATGTCCTGGGTACCCTAAAAACGCACATCCATGTTGGGGGGAGGAGTGAGGGGAGGGAAGGTGGTGGTCTTTATCGTTAGGAACCTCTATGGTGTAAGCTAAATTGTGAAGTATTAACATTTAAAAAAAATGTTTTGAGAGCTATAAACTTGGAACTCCACTAACAGAAACTTTACTCAACTTGTTAACTTAAAAAACTTCTGATGAATTTTCCATTTACCTTTTGCTTCCCCTTTTTTTTTCCTGCTGCTTCCTCTGAAGTCTCCTTCCAAATGGTTTTGGAAATTGGTTCCAGTAAGTTTGCACACCTTCTTCCGCTTGCTCTCCAGAAGTGTAATCGTAGAAATTATACGGTATCGCTTACGTCTTGCCGATATGGTCATTACGCATAATTCTGTTAGTCACAAGTAGAGATCGGATTTTGAGGTGTTTCTGATCGTAATGTAAAGCAGAAAGATTTAAAAAGTCGAGCCAAATCTTGGATCAGAAGCTTTAAAAATAATTTAAAGTGTAAGCTGGTCTGTCAGTACTCACAGACCATCGGTAACTAGGAAACAAAAAAAGTATGGCTATAGATTTGCATTCGTTTCGATGATGTTAGTAAAAGTGAATATGAATTGCACGTGCAAATTATTGGTATTGTAAAGGATCATTTCCTTCTGGCCCGAACTGTGGAGGATACTTTTTGTGTAATAAAGAAGTGACAGAGTCTCTGTCCCTCCCAGCACTGGCCCTGAGCTAGATTCAATTCTGGTTTGACTTGAAGAGTTGATCTTTCGCGGTGCCATCTGGGGGTTAGACCACTTAAGTATTTTACACCCTCAGAAACAGAAATGTAACTTAGAAGTGCACCCTAACGTTGAAAGATAGAAAGTATGCCCCTCTGGGGCTTCCCTGGTGGCGCAGTGGTTGAGAGTCCGCCTGCCGATGCAGGGGACGCGGGTTCGTGCCCCGGTCCGGGAGGATCCCACGTGCCGCGGCGCGGCTGGGCCCCGTGAGCCGTGGCCTCTGAGCCTGCGCGTCCGAAGCCTATGCTCCGCAACGGGAGGGGCCGCAACAGGGAGAGGCCTTCGTACCGTAAAAAAAAAAAAAAAGTATGTCCCTTTTAAATGCCAGATTTCTCCATTTGTAGAAAGAGCAGTAAGTTGGTGAGGCGCAGAGCATGTTCAAGTATGAAAGCCTCTGTAACCTTTGTGAACCGCAGATGGACTTTCAGGGAGCCCCACATGACTTCAGTATTAAAAGTTGCTTCACCTGATGCCTCTTCTAGGATATAATCTTCAGGAAGATGTTTCGGCATGCCACGTATAAACCTCTGATTGGTCTAAGCCGTGGGCCTCTGTGGCTGCAGCCTTATGAAGCTCTGTGCGTGTGTGTCTGCGTGTGCCTTGGCAGGGTGCAGTACAGCACAGCACACAATTCAGTTCTTTGTTCCAGGACTCTGGGCACTCAGCTCAGTCCAGTTCAGACCGTGGGCCGAAAACAAGGCTAGACCTGGAGATCTGGGAAGTTTGGCCCTGAGCCCAGCCCATGTAGGGGATTCCCAAGAGGTGGCGCTTTTGTTTCTAGCCGGCCCAGGAAAGGAGGGGAGGACCTGGAAGGGTGCTTACTACCGAGTGTGAGGGGCAGCGTAAGGCCGGCAGAGGCCACTGCCCGATTCCTTTCTCTCTCCCCCTTTCTCGCCTCCTCTCTCCTCTTTTCTTCACGGCTGATTTTTAAACCACCTGCCAGCAGCAAAGTGAGGACGTTTTCTAAGGATTACGTAAAAGTCAGTAAGTCAACTAAAGAATTTATGTAGTGTATCTGTGTGATTTTTTTTTTCTTTTTTCTGAATATAGGTAGTCTATGAGTTTGGAACATACCGTTAAACACAGATGTCTAGTCCCCACTGCTTCATAAGCACAAGCTCCTCTGAAAATCTTCAGGGGAAGAGATGTTCCATGAACCTTGCTCTCGAGTAGCCAGTGACAGGGAAATAGGGGTAGATGTCTCCTTGAATGTGTATATGCTCTTCTCAGGGATATCGTTCAGAGGAAATCTGACCTCACCACCAAATAGTAAATTTTCTCTTTCAGTAAGTTATAACATTTTTCTGTTATTCTCACGAGAGTATTATACTTCATAATTGTATTTTAATTATGAAATATAATCAGTTTAGATGGAGTTAGAAAAAATATAATCAGTTTAGATGGAGTTAGAGAAATGTAATCAGTTTAGATGTGTTTTGATTACTTAAAAAAAGAACCGTATTTACATGGCAGTAACACTATAATTGTAAATTTTGCTAACAAATTACTTCAGTGTGCGTCTTCATTAAGCCCTCAGCATTATTTTTCTTGGCCTGAGGAGAGCCAATAGCTAGCAGCAGCTGGCCTCTGGCGATTACCCGCTGTGTGCCCGTGTGTGCATCGCACTCTCTGTCCATCATCTCCTGTAGTCCTCCGTGCTGCTGTGACGTGGGTGATGTGATCGTCCCCAGCTCACAGGTGGGGAAACCGAGAAATGAGCACTGAAGTTCCTCGTCCAAGATCACAGAGCTAAGGAGTGGCAGAACCAGGATCTGAGCCTAGGTAATCTGGCTTAAGAGCCTCGTTCTCGTAACCTCTGAGTTTTACAGCGTGTCTCATTTCTAGAGAACCGCCTTACAAGTTTGTATCCACTCACGCCAGCCAATCTTTAGAAAACAAGAATTTCATCTGTTTTTCTGCGAGAGAGCAGAAACCCTTGTACTTGCTCTGTTATTGGTTAATGAACCCTCAACCAGGAGGGTGTTTTTTCAGTCATTTCAGGCAAAGTCATTACACTTTATTTGCATTGTCTCAGCATTCAGATGAGAAGCCAGAATATCCTCATGGTATTGAATATTATTCCAGTTCCTAAAGTGATGTTTCTCCTCGCCACATTTCCTTTTAAGAATGGTTTCACATTCTTCTGCCCGCTCTCCCAACTCTGATGCCTCTCCTCATTCTTTCAGCTCGAGTCTCACTCTT